AATTAATTTATCGAATAAATGACGTATTTATCGAATTTTTAATAATTTCATATACACATATGCCATTATTTCACACCTACCCACACTATATTGCATTTAATGTGACATTAGTGTGCATAACTAATATTCATTAAATTATAAATTACCATCCCCCAATAAACATATACATATATTAAATAAAAATTTAGAAATTACAAAATAGTCCCTCAAACCTATCTAATTTACCAAAACAAAACCCATCCCCTAAAAACAACCTCCCCTCATTCGTCCTTGGCCCACATAACTAATGTCAACCCACCGACCATCAGAGTCACCGTCAGTCCGCCGCATCCCGGCCGGAGTCGACGTCAGCCGCCGCATCTCCGCATTACTCGCCGCCGCATCTCCGCCGTAATCGCTGCAGCTACATGGACCAAAATCATCCCCAAATCGCATAAATCATAAGAAACAACCCAAACTTCTATATGTTGAACGAAATCTGCTGCTACTAGAAGAGCGATGCCCTGGGACCAAGCTCTAGGGAAGGAGAAGCTCACACTGCCGCCATCAAACTCAGCCAACAATCTTTGAATTCCGGCTATCGGTTGTGGCAGCTTTACCTCTGCCAGACGAGTCAGAGCTGTGGTGGACGGACGGCTCGGGCTAAAAGGCGGATTGGTGGTGGAAGGCGGAGGCGAGGCAGCGGTCTATTGAAGGTCGTCAGTTGTTGCCGTCGACATTGGAGCTCTCGCCGTCGCCGTGAGTTCGGAATAGGCTGACGGAATCACTGGACGGTAACGATGGACGGGGCCTGGTGGTGGTGGTGTGAGTTGCCGGCGGAAGGTGGCTTTATGTGAGGTGTGTGACTGTGTCGCCGGTGGTGTGTGTATTTGATGGTTTGTTTGTGAGAGAGGGAGAGGGATACAGATAGGGAGAGAGAGAGAGAGAGAGAGAGAGATAGAGATGACGATTGAGTTAGAGAGAGGGGAGAGATATCTGGTTTTTATGATATGTGTGGGTCCCACTGATTTTGTGTATAGTGAATTACATAAATGTCCCTTGATGTATTTATTTGTCCATAAATGCTCATGTATTTTGCCATTAATGAATTGACCATTGTTATTTATTTTTGACTTCATTATGTCCTTTGATATACTTGATCAAATGGTCCAGGATCATTCTTATTTCTTTCACTATCTATCATTCTCATATGATCCCTTCTCTCTCTCTCTATATATATATATATAGGGTTGGGTTCACATGAGAATGGTTCTCAATGAAAGAAATGAGAATAAACCGTAGCCATTAGATCAAACAATCCAACAGTTAAAAATATCAAATTTTCACACTCATTAAGGGTAAATCAGTAATTATAACATATTCAATCAATTAGACAAAAAATTCTGTGGGTCCTACCAGTACATCCCAATATCCCATCGTCTCTCTCTCTCTCTCTCTCTCTCTCTCTCTCTCTCTCTCTCTCTCTCTCTCTCCCTCTCTCACAACACACGCACAAAAATAAAATCAGACCAAACACAAAATTCACCCTCTTTTTTTGCCGGCAACCTCCTCCGCCTCACAGGCTCCGCCGCACGCCGTCACACG